TCCACAAGAATCCAGTTCTGCTCAGCTTTAAAATCAATGAAAAAATAAACAGTATTTCTTCCTATTAAGTCTGGCCAAGCCCTGAGATGCTAAATGAGCCCTATTAGATCACCTTTTGATATCCAAACCAAAGACTGTGTCCTATGGGGAGGAATTTGCAGCCAAGCCTGTGTCACACATTTCATTCCCAAGCAGAAGATGGAATCCAAAAGGAAAGTGAGGTACTGTTACCAGTAAAAGGCTGTAAAAAATGCTGGAAGGCCAAAACGACCAATGTCCTTAAGTCACTTGATTAGTCACTTCGTGGCTGACTTTTTTTCCAAAAGCAGAAATTCTGCCAAGAATAACCGGAAGTCTAGGAAATGATTTACCTGTCATTATTGTTTAATCTCTTGTTTCCTGTTCTGAAGCTCCTCTTGGTTTAAGAGGTCTTAGAACAGGTTGTCTTCTGTTTTGTTTTGTGTTTTAAAATTGGCTTTCCAGGAACTATATCATCCCCCCAAATCAGATGTTTACTCTTTGGCTCTTCAGTTTCTCTGAACTTCGTCCAAGAAACACAAGGTTAAATTAACTTAGAAATTGTTTACCACTAACTTTTTGCTTTGGAATACTGCATGTTTTGATTCTAATGCATACTCTTAAATTTCACCCTGGTGAATTAAAGTGTCAGAAAAATAGAGTCATACTTCTTATTTTATAGTTTTCAACATTTGTAAAGCCCCAAAATTTTGACAGATAACCTTTGTTCATCAAAAACTTCCACATGCACTGATATAGATTTTTGGAATAGAAATAGAATTAACTATCATCTTTCCCCTCATAAGCAGTTTTCAAAGTTTTATAGACAAATCACCTCAGATGCCATTGGGTGTTTATTGAAAAGGTAGAATAAGAACCATTGTCATGGTTGTTGATTTAGAATCTCTAATGATGTGGTGAGGGAATTTGCATTTTTAACCGTTCCACTTGAGAGCTGCTGACCTAGAAAGTGCTTTCTTTTAAAATGCTTTACTTTTGGTAAAGTATAACTCACTGTTTTGAATATAGAGCATAATAAGATATAGTCAACTGAAGTTAGAAGAGGTTCGATATAAGCCCTGATGACAATAACTTGTTGAAAGATAATGAGAAAAACTGAATTCCTCAAGAAGTTTTTAACCTATTAAAAGTTGAGTTTGTCCATAAACCACTATAGAATTCATTTTCAGAATATGGAAAATGAAATGCTTATATCTAAACTGATTGAAAACAGCTGGTGGTCTCATTCGGTATGCTAAAAGTGTTTTTTAAATACTGCAAGTTTTCTCACTTGAGAACAAATATGGAAGAAAATCACTTCAAATTTTTAGTCGGTTAACAAAGCTTATGAAAATCACATAGATGATGAATTTGTAACCTGATGGCTATAATTTTGATGTGATAGATCAAAAATATAGTAGTAATGGCAAATGTGACTGGTAAATAGTCAGGGAAATTTTTAGAATTCTTTTTTTCAAGACCTATGCCTGCTCTGTATTTGAGATTCATTTAAGAATGACAACTTGATTGTTGTTACTTAAAACACTCATTTATGAGGTTGGAGGAGAGTTTAAGGCCCTGCCAAATTTTCTGCCATGTTAGAGCATGCTCTGGGGATCATCTGAAAGAGAAAAAATCCGAAGCCCAGGGAAGCAATCCCAACCAAACTTTTTGCATAACTTCATTCTGTAATACACTCTGTCTCAAGGACTACAAGGTATTGATAATGTCAGATAAATGAATTACCTCTTCCCACTGCACTCTGCAGTACTTTCTATGCAGTTGATGGATTTGGAGTCATTTGTTTGCTTTTATTTTCAAAAATGTAATGGGTTTAGAGTTTTACTTGCAGCTCTATTCGCAAGTGGGTGTACGCTTTCCTCTCCCAAATGTGCAAAAGGGTATGGGAGCAAAAGTCTCAACTTTGAAAATGGGTTAACCTCTGTAGGTCAAAAATAAGTTTGTCACCCTGTGGAGAATATTTTACATTATTTTAGTAAATTAAAAAGTAAGTTATTAAGGATTCATGTCAATATTGTATCAATATTTAGTCTTTGTTTGCAATCTATACTAAGGCAAAAGTCATTAAAATTTCTGTTTCGCTTTGAGCCATTGCTTCACTTCTCTGTGACATGCTTCACTCATTATTTATTGAGTGAAGACCAGACAGAATCTTCACCAGGCCCTTCTGATTTGGCCTAAAGCTTCATCAAGTGAAGCTTTACAGGTGACACATTTTGTTACCGGTTCGGCCATTCACAGGAGGGTAGTCAAAATGTGTATACTCTACATTCTGGATTTTGTTTGAATGCCACTTCCCCATGAAAGACCACCAATGATGTTGCATCTATCATCAGAATTAAAATATTCATTTAGCTTATAATCAGAAAAAAGGGAAATTAACTTCAAATGAAAAAAAGCATTAGCACTTAAACTTTTTTTTAAGGATTTATTTCACTTACTTGAGAGATATTGAGACAGAGAGAGAGAGAGAGAGAGAGAGATCTTCCATCTGCTTCTGTAATCCCCAAATGGCCATGACAACTGGAGCTGGGCTGATCTGGAGCCAGGAGCCTCTTCTGGGTCTCCCACATGGGTGCAGGGGCCCATGGACTTAGGCCATCCTCCACTGCTTTCCCAGACACATTAGCAGGGAGCTAGGTTGCAAGTGGAGCAGCCAGAACTGGAACTGGAACCGGCACCCATATGAGATACCAGTGCTGCAGGCCAGAGCTTTAACCTGGTGTGCCACAGCACCGGCCCCTAGCACTTAAACTTCTATCCCGTGCCTAGCAAGTGTTCCACATTTTTAATTCTACATCTTAATTGATGTAAAAATTGTAAAAACACTTTTGGCAACTTTACACAAACTTTGAAAGGAGATTAGAATGAAGTCTTGGCCTCTGGCTTGGCTAGATGGGGCATGTAAAGCTTCAGTATACCCTAAAGTAGTTTATTTCTCAATACAGTTGCTAATATACAGAAGAATCAATAATTCTTGGATCCACTTCTAATGGAATTTGAGTACCACAATAATTTGGCTTGTCGAGTGTTTTTGAGTGTCCACAGCTTAGAAATCATAGTGTTATTTGCTCCAAAGCAAAAGGAAGGGTTAACAATTCTCACAAAAGACAGGGCATACAGTAAGAGCACAAGCAAGGTGCTGTAAAAATACATGAATTGGGAGAAGCTTTGATGATAGTGGGTTTAGTCTCCATGCCTTTGCATGGTTGCAGATATTTAAACAACCAGAATTTTTGTAAGGCAGTTGCAACAGAATTTGCATCACTCATTACATAAACTCTTCACCATGCTCATATCCTGTATCCTAGTGAAATGTAGAGGTGTATGATGAATATTTGGACAAGCTTTCTGCTATGTTGTTTATGCTTAACTTTGAGATGTATGAATCACTAAAACCTTTCTTTACCAAAATACAAATTTAAAAAATACATTTTCAAAATATATAACTAAGAATTAAGTTGAAAAGATTCGTCTATTCTTGCTCTTCCAGTTCTTGCTGGAATGTACCTCTTGTCATTAACCCATAATTTTCTCTCACTTCTGTACTTAGAAAATGATGAATACCTATAATGAATTGGCAGGGCCGGCACTGTGGCATAGCGGGTTAAACCACCGCCTGCAGTGTGGGCATCCCATATGGGCACCAGTTTAAGTCCCAGCTGCTCCAGTTCTGATCCAGCTCTCTGATGTGGCCTGGGAAAGCAGCAGAAGGTGGCCCAGGTCCTTGGACCCCTGCACCTGCATGGGAGACCCGGAAGAAGCTCCTGGCTTCAGATTAGCACAGCTCTGGCCATTGTGGCCAGTTGGGGAGTGACCAGCGGATGGAATACTTCTCTCCATCTCTCTCTGGCTCTCTGTGTAACTCTGACTTTCAAATAAATAAATAAATCTTTTTAAAAAAAATAGAATGAGTTGGCAATAATCAAGCTGCGGCCAGGTGGTGGATGGGGAGAAAAGTGTAGGTGATGGTGTGAAAAGAAGCTATTGGCAGCCAGCGCCGCGGCTCAATAGGCTAATCCTCTGCCTGCGGCGCCGGCACACCGGGTTCTAGTCCCAGTCGGGGCACCGGATTCTGTCCCGGTTGCCTCTCTTCCAGGCCAGCTCTCTGCTGTGGCCAGGGAGTGCAGTGGAGGATGGCCCAAGTGCTTGGGCCCTGCACCCCATGGGAGACCAGGATCAGCACCTGGCTCCTGCCTTCGGATCAGCGCGGTGCGCAGGCCGCAGCGTGCTGGCCGCGGCAGCCATTGGAGGGTGAACCAACAGCAAAAGGAAGACCTTTCTCTCTGTCTCTCTCACTGTCCACTCTGCCTGTCAAAAAAAAAAAAAAAAGCTATTGGCTTTTAGAGCAATTTCTGACCTTGCCAAAAACAGCACTTGACACCTGACTACTCAGGTTCCCAGGTTTCTCTCAAAACCTAGATGACCACCTCCAGTACCTAAGCTAATGCAGTCTCCATTTTTTTTTTTAAAGATTTATTTATGGCCAGCGCTGTGGCTCAATAGGCTAATCCTCTGCCTGCAGCGCCGGCACACCGAGTTCTAGTCCCAGTCGGGGCGCTGGATTCTGTCCCGGTTGCTCCTCTTCTAGTCCAGCTCTCTGCTGTGGCCAGGGAGTGCAGTGGAGGATGGCCCAAGTCCTTGGGCCCTGCACCTGCCTGGGATACCAGGAGAAGCACTTGGCTCCTGGCTTCAGATCAGCGCGGTGCGCCAGCTGCAGCGCACTGGCCGCAGCCGCCATTGAGGGAAAAGGAAGACCTTTCTCTGTCTCTCTCACTGTCCACTCTGCCTGTTAAAAAAAAAAACATTACTTATTTATTTGACAGGCAGAGTTACAGAGGCAGAGAGCGAGGTCGTCCCTCTTCAGGTTCACTCCCCAAACGGCCGCAGTGGCTAGATTGCACCGATCTGAAGCCAGGAGCCAGAACTTTCTTTTGGCTCTCTCACATGGGTGCAGGGGCCCAAGGACTTGGGCCATCTTCCACTGCTTTTCCAGGCCATAGCAGAGAGCTGAATGGGAAGTGGAGTAGCCAAGACTTGAACCGGCACCCATATGGGATGCTGGCACTGCAGGCAGTGGCTTTACTCCCTACCCCACAGCATTGGCCCCTCAGTCTCCATTTTTGAAGAACTTTTTGCTTCCAATGACATTTGCTATATCTACTTACATCAATATTGCATGCAATATTCTACTTGCATCAAAGAGTTCTGATAAATAGTATATTTGTATCATTTCTCCTGATATTTTTTAAAAAATTATTTATTTATTTAATTGAAAGGCAGATTTACAGAGAGGCCGAGGTAGAGAGACAGAGATCTTCCATGTGCTGGCTCACTCCCCATTTGGCCACAACAGCTGAAGCTGGGCCAATCCAAAGCCAGTAGCCAGGAGCTTCCGCTGGGTCTCCCACATGGGGAAGAGATCCAAGCACATGGGCCATCTTCCACTGCTTCACCAGGCCTCAAGCAGAGAGCTGGATCAAAAGAGGAGCAGCCAGGACTCAAACTGGCAACCATATAGGATGCCCATGCTGCAGGCGGTGGCTTTACCTGCTATGCCACAGCACCGCCCCTTCTCCAGATTCTGACTGACTCCAGACCCAACTTGCACTCAGGTAGGCACAAAGTAGCAGTGATATCTTTGGCTGCTAACACTAAAAAACTTTTTCTGAGATTCCTTCTTGTTCAAAAAAAATTTTTTTTAAGTTTGGGAATTACTAAAGGATGTCAATATCTAGCAGTCATAATGTAAATATTATAAAAGCAACTTATGAAGCTTACATGCATCAAGCAATAGCACATACAGAGCCTTGGGGTAAATGCAGTACCAACTCTGGGGGAAAGACTAAGAGCTAGGATGCGCCAAGAGATCTTTGAATGATCCATGGCCCCTCTCGTGGACAGATGGCTCTGGGAGCATGGGTGCTATCGTTTGGAAATGGTTTCACCCCCAAACTCATGCTGACGTTTAAAACCTGACATCATAGTTAATAGTACTAAGGGTGGAAACTAAATCCAATTAAGGTATTTAGGAGGTGCGTCTAGTGAGAGGTTCTTGGGTCACTGGGGGCATGCCATTGGGAAGGGCTGCTCTCCTGAGAAGGTAGGTTATCAAAGCCTGTGTTGAGCCCAGCTGCTATTTCCTGGCTCACCACATGCCCTTCCCCAACATGGTCTGCCATTGCCATTTATCACCTTCACAGAGACCAAACTTGTAGTGCTGTGCAATCACGGACTTGAACCGCCAAAGCTTTGAACTAAGTAAACCTTTTTCTCTTTATAAAATTAGTTACCTCAGCTATTTCATTGAAGTAGTGGAAAACTGTTTAATAGAATGAGCAACTTCATAATCTGCATTTAGGGCAGATGTCACCTGGACACTAATCTACACCATTAGAATACAGTCTAATTGATTTTAGTGGGTTTGTGTGTGTGTGTGACTACAACACTATTTTACTTTTACTTTCAGTCTTGTTAGCACTATAAGCTTCAACTTTGGAAATACTGAGAATATGAACTCATTTACGAACCATTGGTTAGAGTGTGATAATCTGTGAAAAGACATCTTTGAGTCTTTGTTCTTCTATATAAACGATCAAAACTACTCGCCCAAATTACAATTACTCATCACTGATTCATACTTGCTGTATATCTTCAGTGCAGAAGATGTTATGGTGAGAGGGAGGGGATTAAAGACTGACTGCCCATAGCTATTTGGAGTCCAGGGTTTAAATACTAATTCATAGAAATTGACTTGTAACATTTTCCACTTAATACTCTGAAAAGTTTGGGAATATTTAGCAAGGTCTGGAGAAATGTTTAGTTTTCGCTACTTGGGGTGGGTGGCAGAAGCTCCTTATATTGAGTGGGTAGAGGCCAGAGATGCTGCTAAACATCCTACCATGCTCAGTACAGCCCACAATGACAAAGAATTATCCAGCTCCGTATGCCAGTAATGCCAATCTTAGGAAACTCTGCTAAGAGAGGAAGCTGGGAGAGTAGTAGAGAGAATCTAATGTATCCTTCTGAGACAAGGAAAGCTGTCAGCTGTGGGAGGGAGAATGAGATCAAAGGACATGTTGAGATTCCTTTGACTTTAACTTTGGAATTTCCATCCTTAATGACAAACCTCTGAAAACTTTTGGAAAACTGCCTTACATTTGTAAAATATTTAACTGTCAATCAGTTTGCTATTATTTCTTCAAAAGAATGAATACATGTATATGTATACTTTTGTGTACATATAAATTTTTACAATGTTTCTACTAAAACAGTCATGTTAATGGACTTATAGACTTAAATTTTATCCACTGTTAATCTATTGTGAGGACAATCTCAGAAAAAAAGGACTTTAGGAATTCATTCATAATCCCAAATACTACATCTATAAAATGATAACTTCCTAATTAGATTTCTGTCAATGCCTCCAACTTAGGGAATTGGAGGAACAGGGGCCTTTGGCATTTGTTCATTTGGGCAGAACTCTACAACCTGGTACATAGGATATGGTCAAATGAGCATCTGATGAATGAATGAATAAATTAATTCAGTGGAAAGTAAAGGCACACTGAGAATGTCATGAAAAAAGGAATAGCAATAATATTTATCAAAATACAGGGATTCAGTATAGTTACTCATTTCTAAAATGAACATCTGTTTTCTTTTATGCATCTCTGAAATCAGGATGAATGTTACACTCAATGGTATTTTCAACTGTCATTGACCAGGCACCAGTCACAATACACTTTTCATGGTATACTGTACTTGAACATGATAGCAGTTCTCTACTTTGAGTTCCTATACATTGTACATATTTTAAGGTTAATTCTTGAAATGCCTTCATGAAACAGCAAAAAAAAAAATTTTTAAAGATTTTTTTTGAAAGACAGAGTTACAGAGAGAGGTAGAGACAGAGAGAAAGGTCTTCCATCCACTGGTTCACTCCCCAAATGGCCGCAATGGCTAGAGCTGCGCTGATCCGAAGCCAGGAGCCAGGAGCTTCTTCTGGGTCTGCCATGTGGTTGCAGAGGCTCAAGGACTTGGGCCATCTTCTACTGCTATCCCAGTCCACAGCAGAGAGCTGGATCAGAAGAAGAGCAGCCAGGACTAGAACCAGCACCCATATAGGATGCCTGTGCTTCAGGCCAGGGCATTAACTTGCTGTGCCACAGCACTGGCCCACAGCAAAAAATTTTAAAGTGATACGCATCAAAGCCCTTAATACTAAATATTGTATTATTGGGTTTAAAGTTAATTTTAAGGGAACAAATACTTGTTATTGGCGAAATACTTATAATCCAATTTTCTTGAAAAGAATAAAGTGCTTTATAGTACCTGGAAAGGGAGAAACCTATACGTAGATAAGAAAAATTCCAAGTGGGGCAGACAGTGTGGTACACTAGAGCTGCTGCTTGTGAGTCCCTCATCCCTTTACAAAGTGCCTGGGATAAAATCTGTCTTCTGCTTCCAATTTCCTTCTATTGAGAACCCTGAGAGGCAGCAGATGATGTCACAAACACTTGGATTCTTGCCACCCACAACGGAAACCTAGATAGAGTTCCTGGCTCCAGGCTTTGCCTGGCTCAGCCATGGCTATTAAGGGTATTTGCACAGTGAACCAAAAGGTGGAAGATCTCTCTTTCTATGTCTCTTTCTGTTATTCTGTTTTTCAAATAAACTGAATAAATAAACTTCAGAAAAAGATATTTCAAAGCAATGAATATAGTATGACCAATTTATGTATCTCAAATGGCTAACTTTAAGATTTTGGAATGATGTTATCAGTTGTACTTTTATTTTTTCCATGGTTTAAAAATAATAGTGTCTCTTACAGTCAATAATGTCTTAAATTTTCAGTTGTCCTTTTTTAAAAAAGGATTTATTTATAAGTGAGAATTACACAAAAGAGGAGAGGCAGAGAGAGAGAGAGAGAGAGAGGTCTTCCATCTGTTGGTTCACTCCCCAGTTGGCTGCAACGGCTGGAGCTGAGCTGATCCGAAACCAGGAGCCAGGAGCTTTTTCCAGGTCTCCAACATGGGTGCAAAGGCCCAAGGACTTGAGCCATCTTCTACTGTTTTCCCAGGCCATAGCAGAGAGCTGGATAAGAAGTGGAACAGCTAGGTCTCGAACCATATCCTGTATTGGATGCTGGCACTTCAGGCCAGGGCATTAACCCGCTGCGCCACAGCGCTGGCCCCCAGTTGTCATTTTTGATGTTAGAGACAGTCAAAGCCAACAAGAATACTGAGGACTGATGAAATTTTTCCTGGATCTTGAAAAATAGGTTAGTGATGAGGTATTGTAGGAAGCCAAATCAAGGCTGAATGAAATCCTGATCAGGAGACAAGTAACAGAATAATCTGGTTGAAATGCATATGTATATAAGATAGAAATGAAACAGGAGATGAGAAACGTAGATTTGTCTTCAGTTCTGAGGAAGCTGAATTTCAGACTGAAGAACGTGCATGTTATCATAATGTGTGCTCCCAAAACCAATTTTTAATTTTTTTTAAGATTTATTTATTTATTGAAAGGCAGAGTTACATGGTGGGTGGAGGGAATGAGAGAGAGAATCTTCTATTTGTTCATTCTCCAAATGACCACAATGGGCAGGAGCCAGGAATTCCGTCCAGGACTCCCACATGGGTGGCAGCCACACAAGGACTTGAGCCATCTTCTGATGCTTTCCCAGGTGCATTAGCAGGGAGCTGGATCAGAAGCAGACCAGCCAGGATTTGAACATGTTCCCATACAGGATGCTAGCACTGCAGACAGTAGCTTAACCTCAGCATCTTGAAAGAACAGAAATTTTGTTCAAGAAACAAAAAAACTCATCAAATATGTTTTTGAAAGGATCAAGGTGGTTACGGTACACTTTCATTTTTTAGGAAGGTTTATTTATTTGAGAGGCCCTTCCCTAATCCTTTACAGAGACTATTATCTTAACATGAAATTTCCTTGTCCTTGACCATAATCTCATGTCCATTCTGCTGAAAACTTTGTACTCATTCTTAAAGCCAAGAGAAAAATGTCACCTCCCCAAAGGTGCTGTTTCACACCTGTAGTCCAGGTGAGTTCCCTTATGATTTGCTGTCGTATTATTTAGTCTCCTTCTTTCAAAGTGTTTATTATCAATGCAGTTATAGAATTAGCTATAGGATTGTTTGTTTTACTTCTTGCTTTCCAGTGGAACTGGACTTCATTGCAAGCTTTATAAAGACAGAGATGAGTACTTCTTGATGTCTCCAGAGCTTTCTACAATGCCCCATACAAGATTGATGCTCCCTACATGTCACATTTGAATGAATGGGATACTATGAACCATAATCTAACTGTTACACAGAGATTGGTCTACCGCCATTTTATGTATAAAATAGAAATAAAATATATTTATAAAATATATATCTGTGTGTTATGTGTGTGTATATAAAATCTTAGATATTTATAGAATTTTTCCTTTCAGCTAAGGGAGCCTCTGTGTTGACTTCATAAATCCGAACAGAAATGTGAACTTTGGAGGGTGGAGGATGGAGAGAAATTGGATATTGGTACTGAAACACAGATAGGACAAGTTCTAGAGTTCCATGGCACAAGTAGAGTGACCATAGTTCACAATAATGTGTAATACATTCTGTAAAGAACTAGAAGAAAGGGATTGGTATGCTCCAAACACAATAAAATATCAGGAAGTAGAAAGCTAGTTTCCTGGCTATATGTGTATGTTTGGAAATATTTCAGCGCCCATATGGGACGCCAGCACTTCAGGCAGCCGCAGCGGCTTTACCTGTTACCCCACAGCACCAGCCCGATGATGAATTTCTTGAACCCGTGTTAGTAGTTTAATCAAAGGTCCCTTTGTAACCCCTTCATTCCTGGAGAGCATTCAGCTGACTCTTTGGGCCCCTGCATTCAATAGGAGACTCAGATTAAGCTCCTGGATCTAGACTTCGATCTGATTCAGGCCGAGTTTTTGTAGCCATCTGGAGAGTGAACCAGCAGATGGGAGATCCCTCTTTCTGTCTGTCTGTCTGTCTCTCTCTGTAATTAACCTTTTCAAATAAATAAAATAAAAATCTTAAAAAATTTTGCATTTGCTGTGTGATTTGGAACAATTCTGTCATCCACAAGAATTTCCATTTCCTCTTATGTAAGATAGGAATGATAATACCTGTCCTACAAACTTTACAGGGCTGCCTGTCTGATCAAAAATCAAAAGGAAAAAATACCAAGCTGCTGAATTTGACAGATCCATTTTTATTATTTTCATACATTGTTTATCTCACATATTTCTAAACTCTAAGAGTCATATCAGTAAATATGCTGCCAAAAAAGAAAAAATATGTATTTAAACTTTTCCCAAATTATATAGATTGAAAGATACATTGAGACACACATGCCCCCTCATCCCTTATGCATACCCTTAAACCCCAAACAAAAATCCAAATGTTCTTTCCCAGAAATTTGAATTTACATATTGTATTTTTTTTTTTTGCAGGGGAAGTTCTTGTGCACAGATTAAAGGAAGAATGACACAAGGATTTGACTTAAAAGACCAAACCTTCTTTTGGTTACCTGCCTAATTTAAGGAAAAAAAAGCTTACAATTTAAGTAGCAATCAAGAATATCTGAATTTGGCCAATGGCTATTAGATTGCTAGTTAGGGAGATTAGTACAGGGAATAATGATAATTTAGAGAATACTGAAGAGAACGGGAATGTTTCAAGAACAGATTTTGTGGGAAAGCATTTGGTTTAGAGGTTAAGATGCCTGTGAAGACACCCATGTCCCATATTAGAGTACCTGAGTTCAAGTCCTGATTGAGGCTCCCAATTCCAATCTTCTGCTAGTGTGCACCCCGGGAAGCTGTAGATATGGCTCAAGTAGTTGGGTCCCTGCAATCCACCTGGATTGAGTTCCTGGCTCCCAGCTTCAGTTGGGCTCATTTGAAAATGAACCAGTGGGTAGTAGCTCACTCTCTCCCTCTCTCCCTCCCTCTCTCTCTCTCTCTCTCTCTGTGTGTGTGTGTGTTTCTGCCTCTCAGAAATAATAAAAAGAAAAAAAAGAATAGATTTCATCTCCATGGCCTCATTAGAAATATAAAATCAATTTCCATTAGTAGCTACAACCTTTCAAAAGACTCCTCTTTTGCCATAAACAGCTTGTATGAACTCCACTTTCAAATTTGTATTTCTCTTTTTGCAATAAAGAGTTATTTTCATTACCCAAATCCAATCATAACCATGCTAAATCATCATTTTATGTTTTAAGTTGACAATAATTTGTCTCTTCTTTAAACACATGGTTGTCAAATATAAGAATTCAGATTCTTGCCTCAGCAATTCTTAGTGCTCTAAGCAGCTGGTAACTGGACAGTTCATATCTTCCTCACTTTGCCATCAACATCCTCACACATCTTGCACCCTGATTTGTATAAATTTAAACAAAAGTGGGGAAGGGAGGTGGGATAGAGTACTACTATCTGAAGGTCAGTGTTATCAATTTTTTGGCTAATTGTGTATTTCATTGAATTTTTTAAAAAAGTGACAGAATTTTGAAATAGGTTAAACCATTAAAATTTATGGAAGAAAATCTTGTATTTGCTTTATCTCCTTCCCTACTAATATAAATTAGCATCACTTCTACAGACATTGACTAGAATCTCTGACCCCTGTTTTGGCTGCAAGTGTTAAAAACTTGAAGCAGTGAGTTAGGCATTGAAGCACTGAGTTAGGCATTGTGGCACAGTGGGTTAAAGCACTGCTTGGGATGCTTGCATCTCATTCTGGTGCCTGGTGCCTGGTGCCTGGTGCCTAGTTCAAACCCTGGCTACTTGGTACTTCTAGTCCAGCTTTCTGCCAATGCACACCCTGAAAGGCAACAGGTGATGGCTCCAGTATTCCAGTTCCTGTCACTCATGTGGGAGATTTGGTTGGATTTCCTGGCTCCTGGTTTCATACTGACTCAGCCCCAACTTCTATGGACATTTGGGGAGTGAACTAGTAGATAAATATCTCTCCCTCTCTCTTGTTTAGTCTCTCTCTGTCTTTCCCTCTAATTTTCTGTCACTCTGCCTTTCAAATAAATTTTAAAAAGTAATTGAACATTTTTAAAAAATTAATTTATTTATTTGAAAGGCAGTTACAGAGAAGAGGATGGGAGAGAGACAGAGAGAGAGAGAGAGAGAGAGAGGCCTTCCATCTGCTGGTTCACTCTCTAAATGGCCACAATGACCAAGTCTGATTCAGGCAGAAACCAGGAGCCAGTAGCTTCATCTGGGTCTCCCATGTGGCTGCAGGGGCCCAAGCATTTGGGTCATCCTCTGCTGATTTCCTAGACTGTTGGCAGGCAGCTAGATCAGAAGTGGAGCAGCTGGGACTTGAACTGGTGCCCATAAGGGATACTGGCATTGCAGGCAGTAGCTTAACATGCTATGCCATAGTATCAACCCTAACAAACATTTTTTAAACAAAGAAATTTATTTTAAAAAAATAACCATGAAGCATTGTGGCCATGGTTTAAACTTCTGCTTGGTATGCCCCATCCTATATCAGAGTGTCTAGGTTTGAGTCTTGTCTCTGCTTCTGATCTAGCTTCCTGCTAAGGCATACCATGGGAGGTGGCAGATGATGGTCAAAGATTTGAATCCCTGGTGCCCACTTGGGAGACCCAGATAGAGTTCCTAGCTCCTGGTTTCTACCTGGTCTAGTCCTGGCTGTTGCAGAAATTTGGGGAATGAACCAGCAGATTGAAGGTATTTCTGCCTCTCTGTTTTTCTTTATCATTTAGCCTTTCAATTAAATAAATAGTTTTTAAAATGAAGCATTTACTACATAATAAATATGGCTTATTTGTTCATTTTTTAAAGGAGTAAAATAAGGATAGTTGAAAGGAAAAGTTAGACATAGAGGGCGAAAAAACTCACTTGCAAACGTTCAAAGTAAATTTCTTGGGAATTTTTCTTACAGAGGAACATACATGCAATGCCCCCATGGCTGTCTCTGCTCTGAGCATAAAGGGATGAGAGTTCACCTTAGTTAGTGCTTAGGAAGGACATAGGAGGGGAGGCCCAGGTGCCTTGTTCTTTCTCCCTCCTTTGTGTACTGATAGAACTCTTCACTCCTGTTTCTCTACATAGCCATGAACTAGTTATATTGAGGTGTCATCATAGGTTACGTCAACATCATCAATGTAGGTTGATCCTTTGCAGGGAATTTGCATGCTTGTATGGCTCATACCTAAAACTAACATTCTTCTGAGTCATTTTATTTAATGGTTTATTTGTTTACTATGGGCCTAATTTCCTACAAAAAATAAGGAATGCAGTTTATTTTTCTACTTGTTCACTGAACAGTGGTACCAGAAAGAACATGGATCTAAAATCTGCACTACCTCATTTGAGTCCTACTATGCCAGGAAAAAGCCAGGTGAATGTCAGCCTCTGTGGGTTTCTTCACCCTTTGAAGAGAAAAGTAATTCTTTGCAATATTACAAGAATTCAAGACAACCAAGCACAGCACCTAATTCTGGTTGGTTGATAAATGTAACTTCCTTTATATCTCTCAGTTTTCACATTTCCCAATCCTGTTCTTCTGATGTGATATCCTGTGCCTCTTCTTATACCCATGGTGTTGGTGTGTCATCGTTAGATTTCTAGTTAAGCAAGACATTCTGGCTGAATGGTTTTCTTTCAGTTTTCCTCCTACTCTAACACCCTCTCATCCTGCTCATGGGAAAGGATGCAATGTAACTGTAATAACTGTCTTGATTTTGCCTATTTCTTTACATGTTCCCACATATGTTGCTTCTGCCACTATTACCTCCCTGTATTGATGGAACATGAGTGAGCCAAACATCAGAACATCCTAGAACATGTCCAGAATTGATGCTTGTGTTTTTTTTTACTTATTCCTTTTTATTAGACAGTCAAAAACTAAGCAAATAAAAACAAGAAGCAATGCAACGCTATTGAAATAGAAACAGCTGAACTTACTTATGTCACAGAATTTATCCAATGTTATCCGCGTATGAAGCATCCAGTTAGGCTGGGCTTCAGATGCAGCAAAACCACGCTAATAAAACAGACTGAGCCCCTGGGAGCCTACACTCCAACGCAGAAAGTAGAATGTATACTAAAATGAGCAAAGCAAGGCACAACATATTTCATGGTGATCTGGGAGGCAGGGACGTGGTCTAGCCTATGGAAGGACTCCTATGAAGGTTAATGGTGGCGCTCCATCTAGGGATCTAGGTTGGGGGAAATGGATCGCATCAGGCAGTCGCTGGTCTCCCAGCAACTGCATCTATCATCAGCACCGACCAGATGCAGCCAGGGGAACAGCCGGTGCAACATGTGGGTTAGCCCCCACGACAGCGAAGTGTCTGTGCCCTGGAGATGCTTGTGT